TATACAATTATATATAGTTGTGTATGTATATGTGTATCTATTTATATATATACAGCATCGCTTTAGATATTGAGCAGTGTGGGCTTAAGGGTTTTTTCCTTTTCCAGTTTTCTCTCAAATGCATGCAGTAAGCTAAGAGGATATCAGACCTTGTAAGAATCTTTCACTTCTCATTCGAAACGTCGTCGTTTGTAGCGGGGTTTCGATAAGTTTTGGTTCAGAAATGTCGTCTCGGATAGTTGCGGAGAATATTTCACCGGCGAGGGATAGCGTGCCGTTTTATGATCGGAGGCAGCAAGGCGGTGATGATTTGGAGATGTCGGCGTCTGTTGGGGCGGGGGTGTCGCCGACGCTTGGGCATCTGTTGAAGTGTGTGGGTGATGTTCGGAAGGAGGTCACCGGAGATGAGACGCCGGTGCACCGTGTTCTCGATGTGAGTGATCCCGGCGGGTTGGAGCAGAGGGCGCTGCCGTTCGTGCTGTCGTTTAACAACCTCACGTACAATGTGAAAGTCCGCCGCAAGATGGCGGTTCCGGCGGTGTTTCAGAGCCGGAGCAGGATGAGCGCCGCCGCAGCGGGCGGAGAGACGGTGGTCGCGAGGACGAAGACGCTGCTGAATGATATCTCGGGGGAGGCGCGTGACGGAGAACTGATGGCCGTGCTCGGCGCGTCGGGGTCCGGGAAATCGACTCTCATCGACGCGCTGGCGAACAGGATTGCTAAGGAGAGCTTGAAGGGAACCATGACGCTGAACGGCGAGCCGTTGGATTCGCGGCTGCTGAAAGTCATCTCCGCTTACGTCATGCAAGACGATCTGCTGTACCCCATGCTCACCGTCGAGGAAACGCTGATGTTCGCGGCGGAGTTCCGCCTCCCTCGCACGCTGTCGAAGGCGAAGAAGATGATGAGAGTGCAGGCGTTGATCGATCAGTTGGGCCTCCGGAACGCCGCCAAGACGGTGATCGGCGACGAAGGCCACCGCGGAGTCTCCGGCGGAGAACGGCGGCGCGTGTCTATCGGAATCGACATCATCCACGATCCGATCATCCTCTTCCTCGACGAGCCGACGTCGGGGCTCGACTCCACCAGCGCGTTCATGGTGGTGAAAGTTCTGCAGAGAATTGCTCAGAGCGGAAGCATCGTGATCATGTCGATCCACCAGCCGAGTTACCGAATCGTCGGTCTGTTAGACCGGGTTCTCTTCCTCTCCCGCGGACAGACGGTTTACAGCGGTTCACCCGCCAATTTGCCGCATTTCTTCTCCGATTTCGGCCACCCGATTCCGGACAGCGAGAACAAGACCGAGTTCGCCCTCGACCTCATCCGAGAACTAGAAGGCTCGCCGGGAGGAACCAAAAGCCTGGTGGAGTTCAACCGGACCTGGCAGAACACAAAGAGAAACGCGACCGGAATCTCCGAACCGAACCCGGTTCACGGTTTATCACTGAAGGAAGCCATCAGCGCCAGTATTTCCCGGGGAAAACTAGTCCCCGGAGCGACGAATGACGCCAGCACTACGTCACTGGTCCCCACTTTCGCCAACCCGTTCTGGACGGAAATGGTGGTTCTCTCCAAACGGTCCTTTAAAAACTCGAGCCGGATGCCCGCACTTTTCGGGACACGGTTAGGAGCGGTTATGGTGACCGGATTCATCCTAGCTACAATGTTCTGGCGACTCGATAATTCCCCCAAAGGAGTACAGGAACGGCTAGGATTCTTCGCCTTCGCGATGTCCACAACCTTCTACACGTGCGCCGACGCGCTGCCGGTGTTCATCCAGGAACGGTATATTTTCCTGAGAGAAACGGCGTACAACGCCTACCGGAGATCCTCCTACTGTCTCTCCCACGCGCTGGTCTCCTTCCCGTCGCTAGTCTTCCTCGCGTTCGCCTTCGCGGCGCTGACTTTCTGGGCGGTAGGGCTCGACGGCGGAACTTCTGGATTCTTCTTCTACTTCGGCATCATCGTGGCCTCATTCTGGGCCGGAAACTCCTTCGTCACGTTCCTCTCCGGCGTCGTCCCGCACGTGATGCTCGGATACACCATCGTCGTCGCCATCCTCGCCTACTTCCTCCTCTTCTCCGGCTTCTTCATGAACCGCGACCGGATTCCGCCGTACTGGATCTGGTTCCACTATCTCTCCCTCGTCAAATACCCCTACGAGGCCGTGCTTCAGAACGAATTCGACGATCCGACCAAATGCTTCGTCCGGGGGATCCAAATGTTCGACAACTCGCCGCTGAGCGCGGTGTCGACGCCGCTCAAGGAGCGGCTGCTGAGCACGATGAGCAGCACGCTGAACATTAAGATCACGGCGACCACGTGCGTCACCACCGGCGCCGACATTCTGGCGCAGCAGGGAGTGACGGACCTCAGCAAGTGGGGGTGCTTGTGGGTGACGATTGCATGGGGATTTTTCTTTAGGATTTTATTTTATTTCTGCCTGTTACTGGGAAGCAAGAACAAGAGAAGGTAATAAGTCCAAAAAAAGAAAAAAACACTACTATACGGAGTATTAATTACTCACTGTAAAACTAAAGTTTCTGTTGAATTTATTTTTTTCTCTCTTTTTTTTTTTTTTTTTTTTTTTTTTTTTTGGTTCCTAAAGTTATAAATATGATAAAGTTTTTACTGTTTAATCTGAATGTAATGGGAAGTTATGTTTCTTTTCACAAGAATAATATAGTATTTTATGTTTATCACATAATATAACTTTCAGAAGTTGCAATTAAACCGACATTTTGAAGCATTTAAGCTCAAAAATCTGTTGGTGACTTATACGGTTACGTTTCGGTCATCTCCGGCAAGCGTCCAATCAATTTCCGACAAGCAGTATCAAATACCAACGACCATGGTCGCCTTCTCCAAACTCGCTCGATCAGCAACTGTCTAACGGTCACCGATCACTGGTATTTGACATGGATATATTGCTAAAAAAAGGTCGGGCTGCAATTACAGGTTATATTACCATCAGGTTTTTGGATTTCAACGCTCCAAAATAGTATGTTTCTGAGTTTAATTGTGCTCAAATGGCATGTAGTAACATCTCCCATATGTGAGGTCATTAGGTCGAGCCTCAGTAGAGACGTTGTTGTACAGATACTACAATGTAATAGAGTCAGTAGCATTCAAAAAAAATACCTAATTAACTTTTTTTGAGTAAAATTTAAGGACTTATATTTAATCTATTATTTAAAATGATGTTAAACTTTTCTTTTAAAAAAAAAATGATGTTAAACTTAACCCTCCAAAGCTACACTAATAATTAAATTTTGGTTGAAATTGAATCTATCTTTCAGTTTTTTTAGGATGCTTACATGGCATGTTTGCATGCAAAAAGAGTAAAGTAATTTAATTAATTAAAGGGATTTGAAAAAGTCAAAGAAATAAATAAATTTGATTAAAGTTATAAGCAAAAATTCGAATTCAAGACTCGCCGTAATTAATAAAATTAAAATTAGAAAGAAAAACATGAGACTAATTATATAATATATGTGTGTGTGTGAAGATGAAGTCAACTAGAATACAATGTAGGTGACCAATCTCCATGAATCAAATGTTTATTCATAATGTTCAATTTGTTGCCTGAAAGGCAGGCCGGTAAGATATGTTAGGAAGTCACTTAAAACACATATTAAGATTTACCTTTTCTATTCGTCAACGAGACAGTCAAACAGGAACGATGAAGGACCAAATTTATTATTTTATTAATTATCTCATATTAAAAAGTCATAAACTTAACATTATCAATTTAGACATAATAACTTTCATCACTCAGTTTAAGCATAACACTAAAATATAATTTTAGGAATTGAAAGTTAAATTAAAGTAGATGGATGGCTTGGGAGATACAGTTTGAATTTAGATTTGAAGATTAGGTGAGCAGTGTGCACGCAAAAGACCTTTCAAATTACGTATATATGGCAGACAAGAAACCTATACGTACTATTTGGGTTGAATTTTATTATGTATATTAACACAACTTCAATTTAGGTCATATATTGACAACATAAGGAAGAAGCTTTGGTGGCCAACCTCTATCTCTATATGTGTGTGTAGATAGAGAAGGGGTTGGGGGGGGGGGGGGGGGTCATATATACTAAACTAGGTCTACCTAAATTTATCTCCCAATATGGAATAAGTTGAAATATTATTTTAGGGGTTAGAATTTTATATCTATTATCTAAAATGATGTAATTAAAATATATCACAATAGAATCAATTAAAATTTTTAAATTTTATTACGGAGTTCATGTATTATATAAGTAAATAAAGTTTGATTTAACCCATAACTGCTATTCAAATGTGCACTTTATGTGAAACCTACATCTTAACCAGTAAATGATCACAATGATATAAATAAATCTAGATTATTCATAGTTATCGGCTCAAATTTAAAAGAAAAATTAATAAACAATTTTCATAAGAAGTCAAATTTAGAATATTGTAGTTATCAAGCTAATTGTCAGACTAATTTAATTGTGGTTTCCTCTATATGGTTGGAAACTTGATCCCTGGATTGCTTGTTTGGTAAGGTACTAAGGTACATATCATCCAGACATCCAGTAACGTTGCATTGGACTAGTATTATTATATTTCAATATTGGGCTATAGATCATGAGGGGGGGATGTCTGACCCAATCCTTTTTCTTATAGGCCTAAATACTGGACCACACCACATAGTTGCATTGAGATTTTTTAAATACATCTTTAATTTTATTTTAAATGTTAAATAAGCTACAAAGTTTATCGATTTTGTATAATTGGATCACTGAACTTAAAAATGTACAATTCAACAATTAAATATGTGAAATTAGTAAATTTAATAATCTAATTGTACACTCATTCCTTAAAATTTTTTCCCTACTTGAAACATAAAACATAAAATATATTATGGCTTTTTTGCATGTAAACAAGAGATGAGATGCATTCACGTTGGCATTTTTATTTGAAATAAAATATGTGGCCTACAATCTTCCATGTAAACGTACCACTGAAATTTTGTGACCAAATAACAGGAAAGAGAAGAAGTTGTTATCCACCTCATAAGTCATATCACAGTCACAGAGCTCAAGAAAACCGAAAATGGCGACGCTACCATTCTCCACTCTATCACTTCCAAAGTCGAATTCATTATTCTCGCCATCCTCTTTCAAGCCGCACGCACATCCATATCTCCCCTTCGTCGTTCGGGCCACCGCCACCGGCGACGATTCCGCCTCCGAAACTGAAGAAGAAGAAGCGGACGACTTCGAGTCGCGCCTCTCCAACGTCCGTATTAAGTACCGGAGCGGGCTGGGGAAGAAAGCAGAGCGCAGAAAGTCTCGGCAAGGGAAGAAGGTGGCGTCGGAGTCGGGATCCGGAATGTACCTCCCGCCGGTGTCGCTGCGGGAGGCGGTTTCCGAAGGGCTGAGCGTGGAATTCGGGTTCACCCCGTTTTCGGAACGGGTCAACGGCCGGATTGCGATTCTGGGCATAACCGCTTTGGTATTGGTGGAGCTGGCGACGGGGCAGGGCGTTATAAAGTATCATACGCCGTCGATAGTTCTAATTCAGGTTTACTTCGTGGCGGCGGTGGCGGCGTTGTACGTTAAGTACGAGAAGGAAAAAGTTAGTGTGTGGCCATCAGACAAATGAAAATCATCGTTGCCTTTAATTTATTTTTTTTTTTCCAGCAAAAAATTGTGAAATTGCCTTATACTGTTATATATATTCCAATGTTTTAGTTTTATACATAATCATGGTCGAGCTCTAGTAAATCAAAGTGCATTGTGAGAATGAACATTAGATGTGAAGTGTCTCCTTACGAGCATTAGGTGATTCTCTCACAATGAACTGCCAAATCACTATAATTTATGTTAAAGTGGAATCAAAAGCCGTGTTAATCTTCAACCATAGTTGACATTTGTAGTAGTGTTGGTCTTCGTTCTTGTTGTATTGCCTCTTGAACAGTAAACCGTTAGTCATTTTTGTCTCATATGACTCAGAATCACAGATGGGGGTGTCATAATTGATTGACTTACAAGCACCACTTAATTTAAGACTATTATATATATATATATATATATATATATATGTATATATATTTACAATTTATTCTTTCACAATAGAATCTAGGTTTAAAGGCCTTTGGAGGTGAGCATTTTCACCTTATGTGGACAAGTTTTATACATGAACTTTGCACATATTATTTTAAAGTTAATTTAATCAATTCGAAATCAAATCAATAACCATTTAATAAATAAGCAATACTGGAATGAAGAACCAGTTTTGCTTGTGATTTAGGTGCAACTATACGTAAAGACTAAATTGTTTTTTCTTTTCACTTAAAAATGAGAAATTCTACCAACTATAACAATATCACTGGAAGTACTGCAAGCTAGATCAAGCTATTCAATTCAGCACACCCAAACACTAAAAAGAGCATCTTAAGGGGTGCCCAAAGTCGTGCAGTTTGGAATCTGGCTGGCTTCATACAGTTGAGAACTCGCAATCAATTGGCATCAGTACTGTTAGTCTGTTACTTGTGATCTTTTCATGAAATGGTCCAAATTCCCAATCAACTTTCTGCATTGCAACTTTCTTGCCAAAGTCTGCAATCGCACGTCCACGCTGCAGCTTCTTTTCGAATGTTTGGCAATCAATCTGTGTCGTAGAATAAAATTGGATTTCCTAAGCAAGATTCCGCGTTAGAAAATCATTAACTGCAAGACTGGCGTCTCCGTGGGACACAGCATCTTCAGGTTCTGGCATGAAGAGAGTAGATGCAGACGTCTGCAAAATTAAGCATTCGGTTGAGTTAAGACCACCAGAATCATTACAGGTAGGTTTGGTAAAAGCTATTTAATCGGAAAGATAATGGAATAAGTAATCCAGTTTTAAGGTTTAAGGTTATTTTAAAAATAGACTATGAAACTTACAGCACTTCATAGTTTATTTAAACCAATAATTTATGACTGGTATAACATCATAATCATAATCTATAATTGGAAGCTTAGCAAAACTAACTAATCTACGACAGTTTATTTTAATCTTTAGCATAATAATTAATAAACTACTCACAGAAAATAGTTTTTTATAGTTGCATATCTGCAGTAACAGGTTTTTATGGATATGCATTTTGTGTGTGTGGGTTGGGGGTGGGGTGGGGTGGGTTGGGGGGGGGGGGGGTGGGGAGGAGGAAGCAAGAAAAAAAAAAGTTCATTTGCTTTCAAAAATAATAATAATAATAATGCAAAAGAACTCTGGTCTTTGAATAAAAAAAAATTGTTGTCCAAAATATTACTCCATAATTCCTTATCTAAAAGGACATTTTGTTGTCATTGAAATTTACCTATGACCTATCATCACCATTGATAGTGATGCACAGACCAAAGTTGATTTGATTTTGACACGATTTTATTGATAAGCTAGATAGGAAGGATCTGAGTACCTCAAAATACTGGTATTGGTAGCACCTTTTTGCAATGAATAGAAAAGGTAAACATACCTTTGCGTCAAGGAGCATTTCTCCGGAATTATCTGAACTAAGACATGCACCGTGTGCCTTCAACCATTCCAAACATTCTTCCACACCATCTGTCTCCTTTGCGTCACTGGCATCAGTTGTGGGATAAATACTAGCAAACCCTAAAACCTGGGCAATGTATGGGACGGGAACTGTAGGACGATATGAACGAGACATACATCTTACAGCAGCATACCGCATCTTTTCAACAAAAAGATCTGCAGCCAACCAGGTGTATATTACTTCCAATGCTGAGAAATTGTACAGCATAATAGTTGCATGATAATGGAGGCAATGTAAATAATCGATGAGAGCATGTACCCATGAGACAGGTGTTAAGATTTGGAGCTGTCCTATACAGTCTAAAAAACAGAACATAATTTCCAGAGGCCACAGCCATACGGACTGAAAGAGCATGCTTAACAGCTGAATTTTCTCTAGCTTCAGATGATAATCTGATAACAATGGACAATAGATATATTAATATACCAGGTCCTCATAAGAAGAAATCCAAGCAGAGACCAGTGCATAACAAGAACGTGATCCCCAATGAAGTGATGAACTCAAAAATAAAGCACTAAATTGTGTGTACAGATTTTCTTAGAACTTCTGTAGTTCTACTCTTCCTAAAATAATCCAAAAGAACAATCAAACAAAGAAGCATAGAACAATCTACCGAATCTTCTATTTTGCTAGTAAATTACACACAGTTTGACACAACTTTGACAGTATTCATCATTCATCGGGCTACAAGTAAAGGGGAAGAATATAAATATGTAAAACAGTTGGTTCCTAAGATGCTCCAAATCTTTTGCGTGTGTAACTGAAAAGTAGAAAACATGTCATAATTTGGAGCCAAGTCCTGTAATCCAATTTACCCGATCGATCATGATTGGCCTGTTTACAGGCTTCATATAACTGAGAATATCATGTTCAGTGTCTCTACCTAATAAGCAGAACCAGGCAACTACATGGGAACTCTTAAGTCACCATGACTCCATGAGAGATTGCAGTATTACCCAACCATGTATAAGATAATATAAGCTTCTACACATTCGATTTTATGCCTTGCAGATCAGTTTACTATACAAGATGAAGCATGGTAAGAGAATTGAACTACATAACAAATAAATGCTCCAAAAAGAGAACACCAACCAATTACTTCCAGAGTATAAATAAAACAAAATAGAAGGATAAAGATAACAGAGAAGGTAAAGAATTGCTGGAACCAAATGATAGTTCCATAGAGACAAGCATTCATGAGTGAGATGACAGGCAAGTAAAAAATGGTGGCATCTATTCAGTTAAATATTGAATTTATAACAGAATATTCTGACAGGTTCAAGACAATTAAATAAAAATTACACAAAATCCAACACAACAAGGTCACTGACCTTGACATTGCTGATAGGAGATCTCTCTTGTTATTGGAGTGCAAAAGTGCACACAGTAAATTATATGCCGCAAATTCCATATTACATCCACTAATTCCTTCACTATAGAGTGTTTTCAGTTGCGATTGGCACTGCAAAATCCAAGGTCAGGACAGTATTAAAAATTTGGGAAAAAAAAAAAAAAAAAAAAAAAGGAGAGATTTAAGGTTACTGATTCACAAACACACACATATATTACAATATAACAATAAGTGAATATAGATGAATAATCAATAATATCCCTAACAAATTTTATCTACAGTTGCAGATCATCTTCTAAATTCTCATTGGCAAAATTAAATTGTGCCCAGCAAAAGTCAAGGAATTAAACAAATGAAATTCAACAATGAATAAAAATAAAATAAGAGCCCCTCACCCAAAAAAAATATAATAACAATAATTCCTTAGTAAATATGAATGTACAAACCTGATTATACTCTGCCAAGTCCCCTGCTTCAATTGCTAATCGAGCATGTGTTTCATAAACCTGAAATAAGCAGGCATCCACAGAAATTTTCAACAAATCTCACCAAAAGAGTTAAACAAAATAATAAAGATAAAGCATTATATTTGAAGAACAGACTGTCAATGCTTAGAAAGTGATTGCTCAATGATATCAGAATATTAACAAGGTGAAAATATGGTTTTAATGAAGAAAGTGGACCAGACAAACATAGCCAAACATATATACCCTGACTGTCAGCCCATTATGAATGTGTTGTACAGTAAGATCTTGCCGTATAGATTTTAATTGATCACATTTGTAGAGGTAATTTTTTGGAGAATTTTGAACCATAAGTAGAGCTTTCTCCAACACCTCTTCAGGTCTTACCTGCAAATGACACTCAGTTAAAAATAATTTCTAAAAAATCAAACATGTTGCATCACTGTAACCCATCATCCAACATGTCAGATGTTCTCTCTTCCAATCAAAAAATCCAACAGAAAAGATTAAGAGTTATACTGTAGCAGGATCAGGTGCAGAGGTAAGGCGTAAATAACGCTTCTCAATTTCTTGGCAGGTTCCTTTGACAGTTAAAGCATCCCAGTCAATATCTTCAACAGCTTTGCTACCACTTTCCTCAGAACTTCGGCTAAGCCATAATGCAGTTGCCCGTCTAGAATATAAATTTCCAGCTCCAACACTCTTTGTTTTAATGTGGTTGTTTTTTGCTTTATTTCCATGTCCCTTCTCAAAACGCTTTGAACGACTTTCTCGTCTCTTTCTTTCCTCTGGTGAATCAGCAAGTGTAATTGCAGTAGAGTAATATGCAGTTAAACTCTCTTCCTTATCACTATCACTGGATGCTTCGCCATTATCAGCTGCATTCAGATTCTCTCCAAGACGCTGCCTCTTAGCTGCCCTCAATGTATCTGTGCTGGAGACTTTCTGCTCTGATAAGGAAAATTTCACATTACCTAAACGATGCATCTTGCTTTCTGTCTTTTCATTTGAAAACTGCAGAAAATAGTCCTGAATGAGACAGGTATTCAATTGTATAAATCAACTGGGCTAAAAGGGTACCAGTTTCAGACTAGACTATAAGAATCTGCAACTCTGAAACATGCTAGGGCCATGATTATTTAGGAAGTCTTATTTTATTACCATTACATTACATAGTTTAGATATTAAGAAACTAGTAAATAGCTATTTAACTTATTAGTTTCTTAGTTTAGGAATCTTTGTAATCAGCCCTATAAAAGGGAGTGTTATTTAGAATAATGGAAGGAGAAATCCAAACCTAAAAAGGGTCTAAGGGAGTTTTGGGTCTCAAGCAAACCAATCTTTTCTTCTTTTCCTTTTCCAACTATTATTCTTTGTTCTTTTTTCCTTATGTTTTCTTGCCCGTGATGTGAGCATATAACAAACTCAAATAAGAGCATCCACAACAATGAACTGGGTGTGCAGTTTCTGTTTTTGTT